ACCACCGACAACATCCGCGTGCACGCCATCACTGACAACCCCACCACCATCGTATGGTAAATACCACATACCGCATTTCATACAAGCCTGAATCACACTTGCCAGTGTACCGCTACAGTAGATGCCAGTTACTGGATTAACATTAACTTGCGACTGTGAATTGATACAATCTATGACCAACCGAATATGATTATATTTTTTGTACTGATAGGCTTATAGAATAAATGCAAAAATTTAAATGGATGGTTATTCAGAACTATCTCCAAAACGGCATAACGGTAAAATTTGACACAGTAGAACATAATCTGGGAGAAAATATAGACTACTTCCAACTATTTTTTAATTCTGCTTAAACAAATTTCCGGACAGATTCTAATATACTATATTAACGTAATATTTATAATTTTCAGGTATAACACAAGTCTACCGATGGACAGATGTCCAAAGAAAGAAATCGAAGAGTTAAGAAAGATGATAATAGTCGACGATAGAGGATCAAACGGCGGCAACCTGCGAGAAAGGGTCGATACAATCTTCGAAAAGGATTTCAACGTGATGTCCATCCGACTAGTATCACAAGGCCTCTGCGCCGAACAGAATACTAAGATGGCGAAGGGCGGGCTGGGGCCAATTAATACTGGTACCAATTTGCAGAATAAAGCCAGTAATGCTGACCCTGAGTACTCTGATTATTTGGTAACATTTGTGATCCCCGCTGTGGTGATAGTTTGTATGATCCTAGTGGCAGGTATCATTGCCTGTGTGCTCTACAAACGACGACGTACAGGTTAGTATTTTAATATGACTATTTCACAAAAAAAAAAAAAAGTTTTTATATGTTTTGGCAGTGAAAATCCACCCTAGACTCTTTATAAAGCCTCAAAATGAATTAAATACGTTCTTGTAATCTTGGAACTTATTTGACCTTGAATATTGTTTTTGTAATTCTTGCAAAGATGTTTTACAATGTATGTAAATCAATATATAATTGTTAATATTAACAGTAGGCGAGGCGCTCGCTTGACACAAACCCGAAGGTGACTTTTGATATTGTTAAATCACGTTTAGAGACACATTTTTTTTCGTTATGTTGTAATTTTTAAACACGTTTTTTCTATTTCTCACAGTCTAATTTTAAGCAAGGTACTTTTATTCGTCGGAATAGGGAAGCGACAGTTGGCCTTAGATATCCACAACAGCAGATGCGTTGCTATAGTTATATAAATTCA